AAACCGAAAGTTTGCAGGTATCTCCGCATGAACACAAATTTGGTGAAGGTCCATCAACAGGGGCGAAGTAGTGGTAAAAAAACGTCCATAAAAACTGCAAAACACAAAATGTGAAACCGAAAGTTTGCAGGTATCTCCGCATGAACCCAACTTCATACCAAATTTGGTGAAGGTCCATCAACAGGGGTGAAGTAGTGGTAAAAAAACGTCCATAAAAACCGCAAAAACGCTAAACTAAAAATGTGTATGTATCTCCCCCTGGACCCAATAAACCTCCATACCAAATCTGGTGAAAGTCCATCTACACCCTGCAAAGTAGTTACATGGACATTCAACGGACAGTACTATTATAATTATAGAAATTCCCAGAATTTGTGACTCAGTCATTACATAGATATTTTTATAAAAAGAAACAGTGTATACTATTATAAAGTTCTGATGACCTATTTAAAATACCATTTCAATGGACAATCCGAGCCATCCAAACACAAGCAGTACTACCCCCTGCATGACATTTCGGTGAACAATCTGAGCCATTCCTACATAGGCAGTGCTACCGCCTGCCTGATACATTGCATACATACCTCTTAAGAAGCTATCTCTTGCCACAAAGTTTAACAGGACTTTTACAATCTCAGAAATTATTCAAGAAAAGGTAGAACTTCATTCTTAATGAATATTGTTCAAAATATAATAGTCTATTTATGCTAATGAAATTCATTAAACATAATACAGACGAATTTTCAAATACTAATGATTATTGAATTTTTTTTTTTATAAAAGGACACAAAAGAAGCAAACATATTATTACAAACACAGGAGTTTTGATATATTTAAACGTACGATATTTCAATCAAGTGTATAAATATGACACTATTAAACACTGCTGTAGAAAAGAGTATTTTATACCTTTAGAGATATAATACAATTGTACTCTGTACATTAAATATTGACAATTGCTAAATTATACATACACTAAATTTCATGCATTTATATATTAAAAAAGAAAAGACAACTTAGTGCAGATAATCTGAGTTTTAACATAAGTTGCTAAAACTCATTTGCTTTACACAATATTGAACATAAATCCTTTTTAAAGTGTTATAAAAGTTCCATATATTTTATATCCGATTTAAGCCTCAAGGACGTGACATCTCAAATTAATGTTAATTGTTTTGTAAGTATAGAATAGGTGGGGCTACACATATAGAGTTGCCCTGAGCGGTAGGTGTAAGAGCTTCTAACGCTAAAAATCGTATTTCGATACCTGCGGTAACCCATTACGTAGCTTTGTGCTTAAGAACAAACAAATTATACATATTTTGAAACTTTTCTGTATTTTTAAATATCAAGAAAAATGTTTCCCCCCAAAACACATGCCACATGCTATTACAACAATAAAAATCATTCTCCCAAATGCAACAGAAAGAAAATACTTCACAAGAAAACTAATATAGATATTATGATTAACAAATGCTACAGCCATTTCAGAATTGGCGAAGATATAAACTTATATGTTAAAAAGCAAAATGTTCAATTTATTGTTAAATACAATAATAATTTAAATTTGACACAAGTATTATTTAAAACGGGCCTAAAATTTCATAACTCATGGTAATAGAATGGAATTTTGATGTGTTTTTTATATTTTACGTTAAAAATATTTGTAGAAGTCCGACAAAGAAACTCTTAGATCTTAGTATCCAAAGAATGATAGTTAAAAAAAAAAACGTAGCTGACAAAATTTCAATCTATGTATAATTGAAAAAAAATACAAGTCAAACACTCAAAGTTGTGGGTACTGACAATTGATTGAAGCAGCTAGATCTGCATAAAACTCATTATGAAGATCAAACTGACTCTCTCAATCAAGATATAAAATTCAGCTGTTAATATAGTTTGGCTAATTTTATGAAGGCTTAAACGTGTAAATATTATTATTATTAGGAAATTACTTAATAAAACTACTTGAATATCAATCTCGTAACAGTAATTTGTACAGTAACTTTTAACAGTATCTAATTTATATTTAATCCACTTTTCTAGGTGCCATAAGGCCTAAATATGTGCATATTTATAGAAGAACCTTAAAAATTATGTATATGTATATATATATTCCTAGCAATTAGACGTAATTGCAAAACATAGGTTATCTTAATTAACATACATCATCTCGAAACTAATATCTGCTTTCTACAATTGGAACACTAACTGCTGGTAATTATTTCAGGAGTACTTTGAATAAATCCTTTCTAATTAAAACTCTCTTATAAATATACTTATAATTGAGTCTTTGTTAAAATAAAACACTTATTTGTGTTGCATAGTAAGAATTATATAGCTGCTGGTAAAACCTGATGGATATTGTCATCAGCATGTTTGAAGCTACGAACACTATGCAGGTCAAAAAATGTGTGTACTTAAGGAACAAGGAAAGTGAATATACTAGTAATTGTTAATAATTCTGATGAATAGAAATAGCTAAACAACATATATTATTAATTTTATTTTAATAAAGTACCAATGTTAAATGTAGTATTCTACCACAAGAATAATTATTAAATTCATAACTTACAAAATAATACATCTTGGTATATTTGGCGAAGTAACGCAGACCGACAGACTCAGTAACTGAGAATTAAACACTTTAAGAACTCCTGTAGTGTTTCACAAACAGCACGTGCTTGCTGATCCTTCACACAAAAAAACATCTTTCGTTTTTATATTTTGTTTTAGAATTTAAATTCATGGCCATTTTGCTCTAAACCTAGACAAAATCAACTCATAATCCTATCATACCCCATGGGACGGACGGATCTAATAGTAACTGATTTTGGACCTTTTTCTGCTTGGTAAATTTGATGCACGTTCGTTTAACACTTTTTATCCCTAAATAATTAGAGCATACACATATGCAAGAATACCAATATGACTACTAAGGTTTGTTCCTGATGCAAGAAAAACAAAGAACGAGATGAATTCTCCTTATATTGCATGCGTTTATATTAGATAACGTCAAATTTCACCTACGAAAACTTAGAAAATCCATCTCAGACCCAGAATGATCAACAATCCAGATCATTTTTTTGTAGTGTGTTTAGGAGTCTTAACTTTAATATGCTCATGAAATTTGGTATAAATCCGATCACACTTTACATAGTTATTTAACCCAAAACCACGAAAATGCTCTATCTCCCTATTACAAAAATGCTTCATAGTGATCCAGAATCCGGATATGGATACGAACCAAAATTGGGGAGGACTATCCCATACAGACTTCCCATCTTGTGTAAAACTTTTGTGTACATCGGTCTGTTAGTTGTTGAGATACTCGTGCGGAAACCCAGACAGACAGACACACATACACACGGACCCGATTGCAATACTCTCACCCCTCCTCCGGGGGCGAGGGTAATAACTGTGATAAAAAACTTTCTAAAAGCGCATCCAAGTATATTTTAATCTTACTCTTCTCACTTATTGCAATCATAGAAACTACAGAAGAAAAATTAATCACAAATTACGCTGTGTCCCTGAAATAGCTAAGTGAAAAACATTATCACATAATACACACATGAAACTACGTCAGAAAACGTATTATTGTGACATCATAAACACAATCATTTATAAACCAGCACTTAATTATTATTCATTTTTCTTACACGATAAATTGATATCATGCTATTGCTGTTTAATAACAATTTCTTAACTTTGCATCATACACACCTCCACACATATGTAATTCACTTATGAACAAACATTGCTTTTAATATAAATATAAGCTACTTTTAATGTGTGTTACTTGTAAAAGACAAAAATATTAATAGTTATAATTGATTTTTTTTAGAACAACTAGAATGAAGAACACAAAAACGAATCTAAGCAGTATTATGAAACACCACTCGCAAATTCTAGACGGATTAGGTATAACTTTTAATGGACGTTCTACATTACATTAACTGAATACATACAACTACATGTATATTATTCAACTTCGATACACAAATGTAGTCCACCTGAACATATTGAAATCCGTCTGTTTTCTTTATAGATAGAGAACAAATGTATTCTAAAGTTAAAGCACCAAGTTGAGCCTGTTGAAGGTGAAGCTTAAACAAAGCATTCACAGTAATTATCAAAAGAAATTTGTTTAAAAGCAAAAGTGATTAAGTTTGGATAAAGTTTTTATTTTCTGTGATTATTATTAGGGTCAAGGATATTCACTGTCTGCGTGAAAACATTTCAAGGTAAAAACAAGAACTTTGGAAAATATATGTATTGAACTAGGTAAACAGTTTTCTTTGTTCAGGCTTCAATAAATGAATTAGAGAAATATTAATGTATTAAGTAATCTTAAAATATTAAAACAAACATAATACTAGCTTCACTTTGCTATCAAACATATACGGTGTTCATTTTCATTTGGTTTAACTACTGCTATTGATGTTTGTATAAGTTAGATAGGTGAAATGGCATTGTTACACTACGTATTACACATGTGCCTAAAGCTTCTTTGAATAAGAAACTCAGAGGTCAATTTGTAATAGAGATGATTTATGTAGCTGTTGTATTTTAAATTGTGTGCTGCAAAAAAAAACAAAACAAAAAAACTATGATATTGAAGATAATTATATATTTGTGAAACTATTTTGTTAATGTTTCTTCAATATGTTTAACGCTAACATTTAGTAAATAGCTCAACCTGCGCATGTTTTTTATAATATGTTAATTACATTGACTATCATAATACAACACAAGCTCATTTAAAAAGATAAATGTATTCATTTTGTATTTGTTTCAGGACCTTTACGTATTAAATTTATTTATTATTTATTGCGTTCAGGTTATCCAGATTTTGAACACACTTGTATTATATTGATTTTTACGTTCTCCACATTTTATATACATTTATTACGTTGTTTACATATCTTCCAGAGTCACATTTATTTCAGGTTCTCCACTTTTATTTATGCTTATCTTATCCTGTCACAAAATGTATTCTACGATAGCGAAGTAATAGATGTTTCTTTCCTACATAACATGCGCTTGAAAACACTTCTAAAATCAGGACTAAATATGGTATAAACAATCGGATTTACCATGGAATTAACGTATCCTAGCCACAATAAGACGCTAAAAAGCGTGTCGCTAGGTTCACAAGAGGTGCACATGGGCATCACCAAAGCCATAACAAAAAATGGTAGCCAACAGAAAACAAAAAGTCCGGTAATAATAACCAGCGTTTTAGCAGCTTTTTGTTCCCTTCGAGATTGAATACTCTCACGTCTTTGTTTGTGATTTTTTTTTGCTATGGCCACTAATCGCTTAATTCCACCAGGAACTGCTGCAGTATTGTTCTCAGTGGTGTCATTGTGAACAATCTCGTGGGTCTGAATACTTAAAGACTGTTTCTGGACAACAAGAATTGCTTTGGATCCTGGTTTGTGACGAATCCTCCTCTTGGCAACTTTGAAAATTTTCCAATACAGAATTAAAATAGCCACTAAAGGAACATAGAAACTAGAACATGTGGCAAAGATTTGGTAAGCTAGGTCTTGACTAAGGAGACAACGTTTTTCTATTTCGATCCTTTCTTTAAATTTGGCATCCTTCCAACCAAAAACAGGAGCGACAGATACGAATAGAGCCACACACCATACCAGAAATATCATTACACTGATCCTACTAGCACTTCTTTGGTGAGCATAGTTTACTTGTGTTATTGCCCAATATCTGTCTACAGCTATAGCAAGTAAGTGTAAGATGGATGCGGTGCAGCACAGTACGTCGCAGGATGTCCATATCTCGCATATCTCCGATCCAAGTTTCCACTCTTGAGTAACTTCGTACACAGCGCTCAAGGGCATTACCAAACAGGCCACCATCAGGTCTGCTACAGCTAGTGATAACACAAGATAGTTTCCCACAGAATGCAGATTCTTCTCGATCACAATTGCAGCAATTACGAAGAGGTTCCCTACTATAGTCGTCAAAATCAACAAACCCAGTATCACTGATATCAGTACATCAAGGAAAACGTCGATGTCAAAGGTTATTACCATTGTACTGTTACTGAGCTTTTGAATATCAGTAAAAACGCTTAATTTATCGTTTGTTTGCTTTATCATTAGGTCTGACATGTGAAGCTCACTTAGTATGAAAATCAAAAGTATAAGCATTTTCTGAAGCGGTAAAGCTGGTATCAGAACAAATTGTGTTAATATTATATTAATACGCACAGCTGCCTCCTATATTCTGTCATTTACAGATTACTTGATGTTAAACATACACCTTTTTCCAAAAATGTTTCTTTGATATCTTCGCTGCTAAGTATTATTATCTTATCATGCGAAATCACATACTTAGCAGCAACTTTCGTCAATGAATACTTTTAACTATTTTTTTTATTGTTCACAGATTTCAATAATGTATATATATTCATAAATAATTCCAAACAAATAAGAAATTTACAGGTATAAGTAATAGATACTTGGAAATTCTTCTTTGTTTCTCATGGGTTTTTTCTTGAAAATAAATCCAGTACTATAACAAAGATCTCATGAATATATTTAGTATGTTTAGTTTGAAGTGAACATAATGCATTTTTCCTTAACACATTTTAACTCATTGATTTTTTACGGGTTGCGTATGGTGACGAAGAACAATTATTTGCTTAACTGTATTCATTCAATTTCTTCTACTAAACTTGTATTTCTCTAATTTCTAATTTCACTCAACAGTATTAGTTCAAGATCTGATTTTGCTCACACATTGTTCTTTTGTTTTTCATACGAAAACATTCAGCAACATAAGATTTATTTGTTTGTTTGAAGTTAAACACAAAGGGCTATCTGTGCTCTGCCCACCACGGGTATCGAAATCCGGTTTCTAGCGTTGTAAGTCCACAGACATATCGCTGTGCCACTGGGGGGCAGCAACATAAGAGGATTGTGTTTTAATTTCAGCTGTGACGACTAATTTTCTAGTTTGTCAGATAAAAGACGACTTTCTTTGAAGCTGCTTTCTGATTCCGTCATATTAGCTGCAAAGAATAAAATGTGAGGTAATTAGAATAAATAAGAATTGATAGATATTTAGAGAGAGATTAATCAAGGAATATTGTTGTTAAAGATAGCTATATTCCTTGTTTTACGGCAAAATTTTAGGTACTTTCAATATTTTGAATAAAATCTCGAATAGAGAAGAAATGTAACTGAAAAATTAGAAATAAAATATACAATAAAATCGCTTAAAATTGCAAATTAGAAATTAAATTAGACATTTGAAAAATCATTTATTCTCTTTAACTTACCAGTAAAAGCATCAGTCGATGTTAAAACAAGTGTTATTCTGCTTTGTTTTTATATTTAGTTATTAATTACTTTTATCATATCTTTAAAAAAAAACATAAGTCACAATATATTTAAGTTAGGAAAGGATTTCTTTGCTGTTTTTATTGGAATAGACTGTTTGTTAAATAATATAAATAATATTCTGACTGGTTACTTTGTTAGAAGACCCTCACACATATGTATAACATTCTATTTATTTCCATATGGCAAAAAATGTAAATAAGCAGTAATATTTTAGTTAGTTTTCGGCTTGAAAAGAAATATGAGGACAGGTACTTGTCTAGCAGGAAGACTTTTCATTAAAGACCATTTATTATACCGGTTATTCAAAGACATCTGTCATCAAGATCTATCAATAGTGGCAGTCAAAAATTAATATATTCATGTCTAGCAGAAAACAATTCAGTCGCTAGCTGCTGGTAATGGACTGACTGAAGGGAAATGTCGATTAAACAGGTTTGGAAACTTTGTCCCAACTGACTGATTCCTGGAACAGTGATCATAATACAGCAATCTCCAACACTGCCATGTCATGTATGTCAAACAGACCAAAACTAATTCCTTATTTCGGAAGCAAACAGGAAAGCATCATGCTAGTCGAACTCAGAGGGAAAAACAGCTAACAATAAGTGACTGGAATCATGAGGTGTGGCCTGATGAGTGTGTTTCTTTCCTTTTTCTGTACTAACTATTCCGAGAGTGCAAGCTGTTTGTCAGGTTTCATAGGGCCGCGATTCTTTACAGTAGGTGTCTTTGGCTTGTTGGCGATAAATTTCAATAACAAATGGATAGCATACAATCCACTTGTTTTAAAATAATATATTAAAAACAAGCCAAACGTATATATATACAAATGTTCGTTACACAGTTAATCACTACAGTTGTATCCATAGCTTTAAATAATCGTCTCTTTTCTTCAAGAGTGCACACAGGCTGGTTCAGTTACTTTAGAAACCAATTAACAAGATGAATTATTATTATCTACTCGGTTATCACAATATAATCAGTGATATATTCAGTTACGTTATCTCGTGAGTTACCACAGTTGTATCCAATATTTAAATAATTGTTTCCTTTTCGTCACACAGGCAGATTCAATTATTTTAGAACACCCTTTGATAAGACAAATATTTCTCCGCTATTAGAAGGATCTAATAACTTGGCGCAACAATATAACAATCATCAACTAGTGAACTACACAACCTATGAGTTGTACACAGTTATGTAAACAAATCTTGCGATAAATTATCGCTTCTAAAAATACTAAACTTAACACTCGCGCTTTATAATTATCTAAGTCGTGTATATCTAACGTTGTTGGAAATGATGCAGATCTTGTGATAGTATTGGGGGCAAAATATATATCCTTTAGGAGGACAAATAACATCCAGATTGTCGTGGTGTTTCCATCATATCCACTTGACAATGACGTCTTCTCACCTTGATGAACTAAAGCGCTTACAAGACGACATTCCAATAACCCATTGCGATATTTTGCCCATTAATTTAGACAACACATCAGTAACTTCAATGAACTTACTCAGCCAGAATCTTCATTAAATCTCAATCCATTTAACATTTTTGGAATAAATTTAACGTTTCATTGGCTACCGTAGCCTGTAACCAAATAAAATCCATATATATTACTCGGTGATGTACTGCAATGGAACAAAACAACTTTCAACATCTTCCGTCTATACTGTATCGACAACGTTTATTATTGTGTTGTTAGATAATGGTGTTAATATAGGGACCAATCAGTTTAAAAAATGTGTACGTATTTTATATGCTAAAGTTTTGTGAAATTTACAACTTAAATTACAAGTAGTGTGATGGTATATTTCTAATCTTCTTGGTCTTGATCATAAACAATATTTTCAAATCTTGTTAGCTCCGAAATGGAGTGACTCTAGGTAGTCATTGTACATACTTTTGTCTTTAGCATAACAAACACATTGAAAAACATAAGCAAAATAGGTCTTGATTGTTACAAAAGTTCAAAGATCAGTTTTAATTCCTTAATTTATATAATCTGACCCTGAAAGTTTATACTGGAAAATATTATATATTACGGTGGACTTTCTTTGGAGTTTTCATATTTCTTCTAGTTTTAACGGAATAAATTTCTAAGCTTAGCGTAAACAGTCTCAGTATATTGGAATGTACTATTTCTGCACAAGTATATTTACTTAATATACCTAGAATGTTCTATGTACAGTGCATGTATGTTGTTTTGTTACTTATTATCTAACCCTATGTTAAAAACAAGATATTTAATTTCAGGATGGTAGGAATTTTTATTTTTTGATTAAGAAAAAGACTCTCTCATCTAAGTATACAAAACTCTAAATAATGAATTATTAAATTCCCATCTTTCGACCTTATGCACCTAAGTGATACAATTCACGTTTTCTAAAAAAGTGTAGCAAAATAATCTCTAAAAACGCATGCATGTATTTGAAATCATTAAGCTTACTTTCATTTTTATGATTTCTAACTACATACTCCGTGCTTTTTTGGTAATAAAGCTAGAAAGAAACGACCTCGTCTCTCCAGATTACAATAAAAATACTTTTATTTCAGCCTAACGTTTTAGCATTGCGGCATCAAGGCTAGTAATGTAAAAACTGTTTGACGTGAAAATATATTAATGCTTCATGCTTGTCAACACGATAAACGTTTGGTATTTGTTAAGTCATTATTCACGTCAGTTATTATAGATAGTTTGTTAGTAAATCGATTAAATCAAAATCTCTCCTGCTAGTTTTGGAAACAATTTTAATTATATTCAATTACTTGAAAAGTTTTTTTGGTGTACAAAACTTGAAGATAGCTTTTATGCGAAAACAGCTGTTAGCTGAGTTCTTGCACAGATCTTAAAATATAACGTTGATAAACGGAAACATCGGCACATGTAGATCTTCAATTACAAATTTCATGTATCTCAATTCAATTTTGGAAATACGTGCTAGTTTTCATTCGTTATTAAAATTAACTTCATATGCAAGGTTCCATAAAGTTTCATTTTTTCGATGACTTACCTCGAGATATGTTAGAAGTAACATACCTTTTAATTTTCAAGTTAAGTACTTTAACTTAATTATCAGTCAAAACTTTTAAAAGTTAGTGGAATATATGTTGAGAAATTTACCACTATTGTCATATTGTTACCCAGTATTATGGAACTAGCCTCCTTCATAAAACTAAACGGCACTTATTTTCTTGTGATTGACCAGTTATTTACTTATCATGTAAGGAATAATTGAGTTTTCTTAAAATGTATCAAAAACGATTTATGTCTTTGATTATTGACCACATAAATCATTGATAGATGACATATTTATTTCTAAATTTGTTTAAAACCAACAACTTTTCGTCAATTACAAAAAGGTTACAAACTAAATTGTATTATATCTCACTTGACGTACAGCCACTGATAGTTGAAAGGTTATTTGGAAACAAAATTATTAATAGGATACAAAAAACCACACTCTTTGAAGTTGATTACAATATGTGAGTATTCAAAACTTAATGAAAAACGAAGGCGTATGGTATTATTGTTTCTAATTCTTTGAGTGTTTCTAGTAGACAGAAAATATGGTTTATTTTACTTCTTATGCTTCTGATAGTTTGAGTTGTATTAAAGGTTTTATAAATAAGATGTTTATAGATTTGATGACAATTTAGATATGTTCACGTAGTATATACTA